GGCCTTTTCTGCGACCATGGCTCTTAAGGGATTAGATGTGACACTCTTCCCTACTGTGTTCCCTCTTTCTTTGGAGCATGCCTGTCAACAGTTGTTCTACTCTTTGGAATCTAAACATGTTGCAACCTGGAAGAATGTTACTGAAAGTTTTATGTACCGTTACAAGTATAACATCCAAGCTAAGACTTCTCAACGTGAACTCTCAATTCTAAAACAGAAGGAGAATGAGGGCTTCACTACTTATCTAAGTAGGTGGAGAGAAACAGCTACACTGTTGGTGGATCCTCCCAAGGAGAAAGAGATGGTTCGCCTATTTATTGCAAATTTCGCTCATAAGTACAAGCAACACTTGAAGTTTCTGCCTTTAAATACCTTCGAAGATGTGTACGATATTGGAATCAATATCGAAGATGAACTGATGAATACTGCTGGTAGCAACAATAACAACAACAACACTTGGAAAAACAAGAAGAACGACACTCCTTCATCTTCCAAGCCCAAAAATGTGCCAACAATGTCAATGTCAATGATGTGCTAGCTCTTAATGCTCCCCCTCATAGATTCCAAAGGCAAAGGAGGGTTTATACGCCTTTGGGAATGACTTATGATACTGCTTTTTATCGCTTGCATAGTCAAGGAGTGATTATGCCAATTGGACCTTTCCAGAATTGCGACCACAGAACAGAACTGCTAGCTATGACCCCAATGCTCATTGCAAGTTTCATCAAAGCAAAGGTCATACTACTGAGAAGTGTTGGAGGTTGAAGGATGTGATCCAAGACCTGATTTATGCTAATCAACTTCCTGTCCCTCCAGGGGGCAAGAAGTCCAATATTAAAACAGGTCCCCTTTCTGATGCTTTGTCTATCATGGGAGATGAAGTTTCCTTTAATCCGTCAATACTCATTCAACCTGTGAATGAACCTCTACCAGAAGTTGTATTTGTTCCAAACTATGAAGATTTGAATGGAATTTGGGATAGTGACGATGAAGATGTCTATCTCAAAGATATAGCATGTTCGTCTCTTGGCACAAGTGAAGATGTTTGGGGAGACCTTGAGGTCAAGGTTCTCACCAGAAGTGGACGGTTGCAACAGCCTAGTCAACCTCCACCTCCACCACAATCACAACCAAAAGTTGATCCCATCGACCCCGTGAATAACAATGTGATCAAACATTTACAAAAGACTAAGGTGGAAATGAATGTATGGAAACTTTTAGCCACCTCCCACGAGCATCGAAAGGCTGTGATGAATGCTCTGGTGAAAATAGGAGTTGATAATGATATGACTCCTCAAGGACTAGTCGACTTTCTCATTACTGAATTGTCGAGTACCAGCAATCTGATTTCCTTCTCTGACAAGGATCTGCCCCCCGGAAGGGGACCAACATAACAAGGCCTTTCACCTCACTGTGGTGTGTAGGCAGATGAATGTTCCTATGAGCCTGGTTGATAATGGCTCGGCAATCAATGTATGCCCACTCCGCACTGCAAAGAAGTTGGGCATAAAAGATGAAGAATTGATCCCCTCTACTCAAGGGATTCGTGCTTACGATAATACTCACCGTCAAGACGTGGGTACTATCATGCTAAACATAACTACTGGAACCATTGAACGTCACACCAAGTTTTAGGTGGTGGGCATTAAGGCTTCTTTCAATCTGCTATTAGGACGTCATTGACTTCTTAAGCTAAAGGCGATCCCATTGTGGTTGCACCAAAAGGTGAAAGCTATAGTTGGAGGGGTTCTAATTACCATTGATGCCTCCCCCATGCGCATTCAAGTTATCGATACTCCCATCGTCCATGTCGAACATGACGAGGAAGATGAAGATCTCTGGGGGGTTTTTCGTTGGATGATGTTCTCATGATCGAAGAAGAGGAGAAGTGTCACCTTGACATTGATCCTTATTCAAACTCTAATGTAAATGCCATTATGAAGAAGCAAGGGCATTTCCCTGAAATGACCCTCGAACTCAAAAAGAAAATGGCTGAACTTTGGGGCCATCCTGGTGCACATAAGAAGGATACCTTTGGCTTGGGATTTAAGCCAACAAAAGAAGATGTGAAACAAGCTCTCCTGAAAATTAAGGCTCGGAATAATGCTCGAACCATGAAGACGGAAATGGCCTTGAACCCATATCCCTTCACTCTCAATGGCCAGTACATCAAAGAAGGGGAAAACTTTCCATGCCATGAATTCCCTGAGCCTTTCGTCTACAATAGGAAGCGTGATCCAAGTTTCGAGATGTTCCTTGATTGTGACTTCGTTGATGAAGGCGATGAGTTCTTCACAACTGAGAAACCATCTAGTCCAAGCTCTGATGATATGAACATTAATCTTCTATTTAGGCTAGAAAAGAATGAACCCAAGCTTGTCTGCAATGACGATTCTGAGGTCATTCAAGCTGTCATATCAAGCAAAGAATTTGACCCCTCTGAGTTAATCGTCCTAGTTGATGATGTTTCAAAGGGATGGCGCAAGACGGTGAAGATCACTACGCCAAGTGCCCGAACCGTCACTCCCCTATTTGAACTTTCACCCCTTTCACCTTTCTTAGAATTCTTCGATTGCTTCTCTCTATAAACCATCTTTTCTTTACCCTTTCCTTTCACACAATTCTTCTTTTTAGGCATTATAGGAGTCTTAAACTCAATTCCTTGTGTTCTCGGACCTAGACGATCTTTAGGAGGCGCCTTTTACTTCCAAGACGTCCCTTCACATCAAAGTTGCGTGATCCGACTCGATCCCTTCTACTTCTAGGATTCAACCATGCCTTATATGCACTAGATAAGGGAGGAGGAGCTTGGTTACTCGCAGAAATGGTCCACAAAGGTCTTCCAATCTAGCAAGCCTCGTACTTGTGAACGTTACTTTCATGCAACGATACTTCACGAGGACTATCGTTATAGCGTGGAACTACTTATTCAATTCCATATTGTTGCATCAATCGAGAAGGGTAATAAAAATTCAGCTTTGAAATACTAGGAACGCGACAATACGGAGTATCATTTGTGCTAACCATCCTAGTAAGCCTCCACCAAGGCACCACGCACCGAATGGAAAATTCTCTCTTTGAAAAAAAAAAATTCAATCATCATACAACATATATGTTCGCAGAGTAATTCTTCTTCCTGCGGACTAGATCGTTGGGACCATATTTTTTAATATTATCAGGGGCTTCAAAAAGTTCTAAACGCTCCATCAACCAAATTTGCAAAATAAACAAAAATCATTAAAACAAATAAAAATTGCAGAAAAACACCGTGACACGGCAGAATGCAGTGTGTCACGGAAGACATGTACCGTGACACGGTGCCTGCTTTGTGTCACGGGGACTAATCAAAGCGCATTTTTACCTGCAATAGTACTAGTTAACCTTTCCAAACGGCTTTCCGATCAGCTTTTGCTTCGTCTAGGCCACGCAAAGTTTCTCCAAGGCAAGTAGGCATAGGAGATCTCCCAGATTCAACATGTTCAAGCACAGACGCTAAACAAGCATGTCCTATCCTACCGTTTTCTAATAAAACCATGCTAAATATGCAAAAAATATAAGCCCTTCTACGGTATACATGATAAGACTCAGAAACAGGACGATTGAAATACAAATTTGCAAGCTTTTCTAAATCTTTTTCATTACCACACACAATTTTATTTAAATCTGGATCTGTCAGATTCAGATGGCGTTCAAAGTCTTGGTAATAATACTCACGTAGGGTAGGCATGACAATGATTTCTGGCAAGTAAACCAAAGATGGCATCGAATTCCTCCTGCAGTGGACAGATTTCATCATAATCAAATTTAAAACAATGTGTTTCTGGACTCCAATAGTCCAAAGCTGCCCTAAGAAAATCATGTTCAATTGCTACATGCCTCAAGGCTAATATGCCTCTAACATGAAACAGTTCCAACTCTCTTATGTCAGCATTGGTCAAAGAATAAGACCAGTCGCGTAATGTATTATCAAAAATTTGAGACATTATTATTGAAATATGAAATTCTAATTATTTTATGTTTCGTAATTATGCATATCACGAATAAACTGGTCCTATTTTATAGCCAAAACGCTTGGAAATACTCAAAATCTATCTTTCTATACGCGCAAACTACACCGCTGCAGAATAAGCGCACCGTGACACGGGAAATTCCACCGTGTCACGGGAAAGTACCGCGACACGGCAGACTTTGCCGTGACACAATGCACACTGCCGTGTCGCGGTGCCCACACGTTTTCATTTTTTTAATCCTTTACCTATTTTTACCCGAATTTTTATTGTTTTGTCTTCACCGTTTATCTTCTAATTCTGTTTTTCGAGAGTTTCATTCCTAATAAAATTTTTCATTTATTTATTTTTTATTTTTTTCTATCTTTATTATTTATTACTCCCTTCGTCCCTGAAATAACGACCCATTTGGCCTAATTTTAGTCCAAAAAGAATGACCCATTTGGCCTAATTTTAGTCCCAAAAATAATGACCCATTTGCCTTAAAACACCCACCAATTTGCAAAAATATTTGTGCAAAATTAGCTTTCCTATATAAACATTTGATTTTCCATGTAATTTTATTACTTTCTCTCTCTATTTTTATAAAAAACCCATGTAAAGTTATCTTTTCAATATACTTTTAATTCTTTTAATTTAACTTTCTTAATACCCGTGTAATCAACCCAAATGGGTCTTTCTTTGGGGATGGAGGGAGTATTATTTTATTTTTTATTATTACTTTATTCTTATTTCTATTTTCATTTTTTATTTTTTATTTTTATTTTTATTTTCCTTTTTCTTTTTTGGAAGTTGTAAAATTTGTCTCATTTTCATGTTTATTTTTATTTTTCTTTTTCATTTTGGAGGAGTTTAAAACTTGTCCCATTTTCTTTTTTATTTCTTTTTTCTTTTGTGGAAGGTCGGTACCCTCCACTTACGTTTTTTTCGCGTCATTAATAAATACACAATCACACACAATGAGTCTCAAGCACACACTAATATACACTAATAAATGCAAAAACTGTGAATATAATATATATACAAAGTGAATCATGATGCATAAACAGTGTCAAGTGTCATCAACCAAAGTACAAAATAAAAACCCTCGGTCAAAAATCTATAGAACTATAAGAGTGAGAATCAGTGTCATATCCAGCTTGTGAATACGGGAACAATGAACCAAAGAGTCCCTCCATCATCCGGGTACGAGGAGTAGTATCCCTACTAGTCCTTGTAGCTCCAGTAGCAGACAATCTCAAAGCAGGACCCGTCCGACTGGCAAACGGCGTAGACTTACTCCAAGAGGTATGGAGCGTTGGTGGAGGCATCGTCCCAGACACTGGAACTTTAAATAAGCCGGCACCGGTGGAGGAAGCGCCCCAGACATTGGAACTGAGTATAAACCCTGGTCCACAGGAGTAATGACTGGCCTAAACTCAGGATGTGAAGGCTGTGAAGATGAAAGTCGCTGTCACTGACCCTAAAAGTGCTGGAATGGTTGAGAAGGCTGAGGCTGCTACCACTGAGCCTCCTAAAACGCCCGAGAATACAGAGGCTGCTGCTGAGACTGAGAATGCCGACAAACCTCATGAGATGGTCTGCCACGACTAGGCTCCCCCTCGTCCGAGCCTCTGTGGCTCGAGCGCAAGCGAGTCCTCCGTTGCTCCTGAAAAACACAAAATTAAAAGATGTCAATGGTGCAAGATAGAAAAAATGGTAAATATAGGGAAAGGGTGAATATACCTTGAGAACATCGCCAGAACCGCCTCGACAACTTGCGCCACGTCGAAGCTTGATGATGCAGTACTTCAAAGCGTCAACCAGCTTCATGAATCCCATCACGGTCAAGTGTGTAGGCTGAGAACAAAGCAAAGAAAAATCAGTAACAAGCGGTATTAAAAAGGATGAATAATGTGTTAAAAAAGCTTACCGGCTCAAACACATCAGGCAAAGACTCATGTGCCTGTCTTAAACCCTCTGGCGCGTCAGCAATATGATCCTCAGTGATATCGATTGACCCAGGGTAACAGACAAATTGAGACGGGACCTCAATCTTCCCCATACGGAGAACAGTCGTCTGAAAATACGATAAAATAATTAGGTTATTCAACGGTTTAATAGAGACTAGCGACAAAATTCTCAAAAGAAATCATACCTCGGGAAGATAGGGTGGAGGAGCCAAAGAGGGGAAGTAAGTCCTGCGAATAATCTCCCTCCATACGCACAAGCTCCTGCCAAGAAAAGTGTAGCGCTCTCCCCTATTTATTAACTCTTTAAGCAAACGTGAGTCCAACATTGACTCCGGTGGAGGCAAGGGCACCGTAAAGCGATCAGCACTGTGCTGTCAAACAACACGCTCCCCAAGATACCAAGAAAAGCATCTAGGACCAACAAAAACAGTATTGTACGGCGAAAGCCGCAAGGCCTTGGGAAGATTAGTCATCCCAGCACAAGGTCGATACTGAATCTCAACAACAACATGAACACAATAAAAAGTTGCAATGAATGCCGAAAATAACATCAAGGTAGAGAATAACCTACGGAAAAATTAATTCTTACACCAATGGAAAAGGTGCCTCGATGCAGCAGCTCGCGCAGCGTAGGGACGGATTCCACTCGTGACTCGCCTCGGTCACGCTAGCTAGCTCCAACAAGGAAGTCATGGACCGCTCCACGACGCCATCGAGGGGCCAATCCCTGAAAGTACTCATAGAACCACAGGTGTAATGTAAAGTAGTCTCTAAGAACATGAGTTAAACAGGATAAAACAAAACAAGAAGAAGAAAGATCGTCACCTCTACGACTCTCCATAAACCGAAGACAGTGATTGGGGCCTGGTCATTAAGCTGCCTACAACCATGACATAGGGACGAGAGAAGATCGGCATATCAAAGGCTGGCCCAACTAAAGAATTATATCTCGCCGATCCTGACCAAATAGGGATGGTAGCAAATGAGCGCACATGAACTCCTATCAGGAGAAAGAGTCACAAAAATGAGAATCAAAATGAAGATCCGCACTCGCTGCTCAGGTGATGTCTCATCCATGTCAAAGCCAGGGGCTAGAAAAAAATCCAACTCTGAACGCCCGCTCTTAGGACCACCTCGAGGCACCGGCTGAGTCCTAACAAATCTGCTACCTCAGCCGCCCGCCAAGTAAGGTCAGGAATCTGTTGTACGACCCAATCGGTGAAGCGTAAACCGCTGAACAAGCTAAAATTTAGCGTGGTCACTGTCATCTCCCCCCAAGCAAAGTGAAAAGTGTTGCTGGTATCCCAAATATACACCAACAACGCATGAACAACCGTCAGGCCACAACCCCGGGGGCTGCGAAATCCTACGACCGTCGAATAGAAATCTCCTAAACCAGCAGACTCCCACAAGGCGTTTGTAATAGGATCCCTCATAATAATCCCATATAACTGGGGAATCAAATCTCTTGCTCCGGATCCATGATGGCGAAGCGTGCCATCGACTATGCCGGCAAGTGGACGGTGAGAAACGTGGTTCTCACGGCAGAAAACCAACTCATCCGGCGTCCACGGAGGTGGAATCCACTTGCCCCTACTCGAAGAAGGACAAGACTCGGTCTCTAGGGCATCGTCGTCCATGCCCTTAGGAACTGTGGGAGTTTCCTCCTGAAAAGCCTGACGTCGGCCACGAGTAGAAAGACCGCGATCTCGTTGTCTAGGCATGCTATTACAAAAATAAAAAATCTGAATACTTAGCATCATTTCCTAAGTTATTTAGTTAATTATTCAAAAGCGGCTTAACAGCTACCTCAAGTTGCATTTTCTATTACACGCGAAATTTTTACCTCAAGGCTAAAAATTAGCAAATAAATGGAATTATTTCTAGTATTTAGTTTCTCCATGACGAACTAATACTATATTTTCCTAATTGCGTGATATTATATTCTCCATGATAATATAGTAAATACACAAAATAAAGCATGTTTCAAAATTGCACAAGAACAATAAATCAGCACATCGTGGCGTATTTTACAAGATCTACAACTAATATATCACAATTTCAAGTGCAAAAAAAATAACATGAACAACAAGAACACCATCTCACATAAGTAGTACAAAAAAAATGGTGATTTGCCAAATTCTTCACCAAATCATGCAATTTTAGCATCAAATTGCTCACAAATAAACATACATTCATAAACAAGGTAATTCATGACAAGAATTTCAACAAAAAGGGTTAAAATCAAAAATCCCCAAATTGATTTTCCAAGGGTTTTTACATGAAATTACCCATTTGAAGAAAAATTTAACATAAAAGACAAGAAACTCACATAGATCCTTAAAGAAATTTGAAAATTGAGGAAAAAATCACAAAATTGGAGCGAATTTGGTGGAGAATTGAGTTCCAAAAGCCCAAAAATTGCTGCAACTGTTCAGCACCACAACCGCAACCACCGCGGCACAGGAAGCTGATGTCGTGACATGGTGACTAGTATCCGTGTCACGGTGAACCCTGGACAGCGGCGGAGCTCAGGCAGCAGCAATGGGAAGTAGCGGAGCTCAGGCAGCAGCAGCTACGAGAAAACAAGTTCACGCGCACCGAGAACATACACCGTGTCACGGTGACTCGTGCCGCGTCACTGTGGGACCTAACGAGTGTCGATGCAAGGCTTCGTGCCACGGTGGTCAGAGATGTCAAAGTGGAAATTTTTTTGAGAAAAGGTGATAATATAAGGAAATTGAGAATGAAAATGGCAAAAATGGGAAGCAGCAACTGATACTTAAAGCCAAAAAAATAATCGTTACACTTTTCCTTTCTCGTGCCACGAATCCTGCTACCACGTAGCGGCATTCCCGCGCGTGGCACTGTGTTGTAATCGTGGCGTGTTGATAATTCCAGCAGAAAAAAATAAAAATAAAAAATGGGATCTCGCGTCACGGGGATTTCCACAGTCAGACGGGGTTGTCCACCGTGTCACGGGTTACTCTCCGTGGCGCGGTGCCCTTTTGTTTGTCCTGCACGCTCCTTTTAACCTTCTAGCAGATATTTTAACATCTTTGACCAAGTTGGAATGATATTCCGCAACTTTTGGTCAGTTAATTTCTCACCGAAATTGCGCGGAAAATTTTAATTGGTATTTAAAGGGTTCCAAAACTACCGATTTACCCCTAACAAGCATTATGGTTGCACTTTCGACACTTTAAACACCTAATATGTTCGGATAGTCGACTTGAAGGTAAATCATCTGCAGCCCACATTCAGGGATGATCGAACCATCATACACTAGCAAATTTCATCGATTATATCAGTTATCGGTTTCCTCAAGCATGGAAAACATTATCGGTGGATTTTTCTTCAAGTATAGAAAACCGCCAAGTCGGCTTTCCTTAAGCATGGAAAGCGGTATCGGTGGGTTTTTCTTCAAGTATAGAAAACCGCCAAGTAGGCTTTCCTTAAGCATGAAAAGCATTATTAGTGGATTTTTCTTCAAGTATTGAAAACCTCCAAGTTGGCTTTGCTCAAGCATGGAAAGCATTATCGGCGGTTTTCTTCAAGCATAGAAAAACACCAAATTCATATGTCGACTTTCCTCAGGCATGGAATGTATCATCCGGTAGGTTTCTTCAGGCTTAGAAAGCTACCGAATTCATCAGTCGACTTTTCTCAAGCATGGAAAGCATTTAAACAAACGTCATCCGGTGGATTCCTTCAAGCATAGGAAGCTACAAAAATCATTTATCATCGATACACTGGTGTCAGATATGTGTTTTATCCCTTTACTTTTTTTATCTGTGGAACTAACGTTTTTCTGCAGGTATCGGCGTATACAGAGTGATTAAGGATCGCATAACATCTTAAATCATTCTCTATCCCTATTGACTACTTTGACTTTCGTTTTCGAAACTAACGTTTCTACATACTCAGTCAAAGTGGGGGCTTCTGTAGACACCTAAAAATGTCTCCCCAAAACCAAACCCGATGATGAACAATCTTTCACCGCTATTATTGGTCGGGTTCAGTATTTAATCCCGAGATTGCTTAAAAATCGTATTTAATTAAATTCAGTTTTTAAATAGTCCATGGATCAGTCTTGATGTTTAGTCAAAGCATGGTTCACTTTTTAGCCTAAACCTTTTTTATTATTTTGGCCCAAGGCTTTTTATTTTATTATTTTGGCCCAATTAATAAATAATAAATCAGAAATGGCCCGAAATTATCAATTGGCACTTAAAAATGCTGAACGAAATTAGGGTTAAAATGAATTTAGATAGAAAAACAGACTACAGGTTCCCGCGTCACGGCAGTAAGAACCGTGTCACGAGATCCAGTGCCGCGCCACGCTGGGATTCCCCGTGACACAGTGCCTGTGCTGTGACACGGGGTAATTCTGTGTCCTTTCTGCGTAAACCCTTCAACCATTTTATTCCCCGTAACCTAAATATTTCCCGCGTCACACTGTTGTCCACCGTGTCACGGCTATTTCCCCCGTCTGACGGTGCCTGGCACTGTGTCACGGTGATCTTTGCCGTGTCGCGGTTCTATTTTTAGGGTTTTTATCTTTTTAGGGTTCCGTGTGTTCCCTCTACTCATTTTTTTCTATAAATACCCCCTCATTTCTGATGTACGGGGCATCAATTAATTCTCTCTTTTTTCTCTCTTCTATGCTCTAGCCTAAACGCTATCCTACCTTTTCTCTTTCAAAATTCCCTCTTCAAGCACTCCAGGGAGTCCATACTTTACTCGTGGTTCTATCCTTAAACCAAGGCGTGAGGGTTTGGCCCCAAATCAACTCTATTTAATTTAATTTAATTATTGTTTTATTATTTTTCCTTGAAGTTACTAACTCGTTTATTATTTTATAGTTGCAAGCAAACATAATCAAAGTAAGAATTATGTTCATTTTATTTATATTATTTTTCTAACAATTTTATATTGTTGGATTTATTGTAAAATTGCTTCCAATATTAATCTTTACTCTATTATTATTATGATCACCATATTGCATGTTTAAAGGGAATATTTAATTGAAAATCACGCCTAATAAAATAATTTGGACAACCGGTGTAGGATCCTTTTAATCTTGTTATTAATTCAAGTGATCACAATAAATTAGAATAATGTGTTGCATTAATATTAAACATATTTAGCTTAAGAATAGTTTGGAGCAAATTGAATATTTTGTTTGTATCCCTTTGAGATCGCATGAATGTTTTTCATAATAAGAATCGAGTAGAGGCCAATACGGGCGAATGTGACTCCATGACTCACTTCGTACCATCATCCCCGATCCTCCTTTCGTGGTTCCGAACCATATGGAGTTAGTAATCTCATGGATTATGAATGGGGTGTAACCTTCATGGGTCAATCGTTGTTGCCTATCGCTGTCCCTTATCGTGGTTGCCTTTTTATGATCCGTGAACGGTTTACAAGTTCCTTAAGAACTTGTTGGCGGCTCCCTACTTTATTTGTCCCTAATCGTATTATGTCAATTCCCACTTCCTATGAGTGCCAAGCATATTCACACATGGTTTAACGTAGGCGCACTTCAAACGACGCGTACAGAGCTTCTTCACTATATTGGAGAAAGAAACCAAAGAATAAAGGAGTCCTAAATCTAATGGCTCAAAAAAGGTATGACCTAATTGGTCAACTAAAGGGTCCTTTTATAACACAAGGAAACCCTAATAAAACACTAAAATTGTTTCCCAAGTATACTCACATAGCCGTCATAGAAAAGATATAATTTTAGGAAATATTCCATCAATTATCCTAAAATAACCTAAGTACTGAGCTATAGCACGGCAGCTAGCTCATGTCTGCCGCAAGTCCTCATAGGGCCGAGCTATAGCTCACTCACATAGAGCTATAGCTCGCAGCCTCGTTGCAAATTTCTAGATTCGTCAGGTTTTCGTAAAACGGTCATAACTTTCTCGTTCCTTATCGGAATTGGGCATATGACCTATCATTGGAAAGCTGTTGAAACAAATCACTTCAAAATCAGTTGTAGTTTGAGAGATATAAGCGTTCAAAGACAGCCCTATTAGATTTCGAGTCATAATTTAACAATCTCCACCTTGACTTGAAATTGACCAAAAAAAAACAAGATAACTCCACCTTGAACCAAAAACCAAGAAGTAATGCTCATAATAAAACATAAAACCTCCACCTTAAACAAAACTCCATAAGCCTACTCACATTAGGCTATCACCAAACGGACATCTTCCATAACTTGTGAGCCAGTGCGCCTCCGAACAAAAAAATTTGTACACAAAACCATCACATGGCCTAGATTGAGAGTATAATGTCCCGACACCAAGCATGCTTATCAAAATTGACCAAACTCTCTTCAAATACTTCTTCATCTGAACAAAATCAAACTAAAAAAAATACTTAAGCAATTCTAGAAAATTAGAAATTACATCAAGAATTTCTAAATTGCAATTGTATTCATTAAATCACAAAAGTACCAAAATTGAGATAAGAAATAGCATAACTAGAACAAAATCTAATGCATAACCAAGATTTCTAATTTATTAGAAAAAAAAATAAAAAAAAATTGTCATAGACTCCGTACCATAAATCCACACGGTTTCTCGTTTTACCAAGAGATCTCAAAGGGGAACTTATCATGAAGAGATCGTAGAAACCGCAACCCCAAAGCTCGTAACACTAAAGTGCATAATTATAATCATCATTGTTGTTGGCCATATTTGTGGATTTGTCCTCATTGGACTTCTCCTCATTCTTCTTCTTTAATTTCCAACACTCGGCTTTGATATAACCCTTCACATGACATTAGTTACAAAATTTTCATTTACCAAAATTCTTATTACCACCATGAGCAACTAAAGCATTATTTTGAGCCGGATTATTAGATTTACTAACCAATTTATTGTCAATTAAATCTCTTTGAGTTAAGGCATCCTTAACATCCTCCAAACTCAAGTCATCTCTACCATACAATAAAGTATCCCGAAAATGCTTATACGTTGGCGGTAAAGAACACAACAACCTAATAGCCATATCCTCATCATCGATCTCAACATTGATGTTTTGCAAATCCATAATAATAGAGAAGAATTCATCTAAATAAGACTAATTCTTCTAGACAAAGATAATGAAGTCTAGATTTGACTAGTAGACGGTTGGTCACGCTCTTTGTCATATAAAGTGATTCCAACTTCAACCACAAACTCGCAAAAGTTGTCTCCTTGGCAACCTCTCTCAAAACATCATCAGAGAGACATAATTGAATTGTAAAAAGAGCCTTCAAATTGATCTCCTCCCACGTATCCACCGTGATGCCCGAAGGCTTGTTGGATACACCTTCAAGAGCCTTGTGCCAGCAACTTTGAACCAAGAAGGCTTTCATATTCAATTGCCATAGGCCAAAGTTCACTTGCCTATCGAATTTCTCAATATCAAATTTCATTGGCATAATTTAATCAAACTAATCTATAAACACCTAAACCTTAAGACCTTAAAACCTTGGCTCTAGATACCACTTGTTAGGAAATAAGGGTGCAATTGTGTTTGATTAATGGGGAACAAATCAATGAGAATTAAGAATTGAGAAAAGCAATAAAGAAGATAAACAAAGAACACAAGGATTTACGTGGTTCGAACAACGTAACCTACATCCCTGGGTGGGGGATTCGAGAGCTTCTTCACTGTAATGGAGAAAAAACAAGAGAATGATACAAGGAGTCCTAAATCTAATGGCTCAAAAAAGGTATGATCTAATTGATCAATTAAAGGATCCTTTTATAACACAAGGAAACCCTAATAAAACCCTAATATTGTTCCCCAAGTATACTCAAATAGCTGTCATAAAAAAGATATAATTTTAGGAAATATTCCATCAATTATCCTAGAATAACCTAACTATCGAGCTATAGCTTGGAAGCTAGCTCATGCCAGCCGCAAGTCCTCATAGGGCCGAGCTATAGCTCACTCGCATAGAGCTATAGCTCGCAGCCTCGTTGCAAATTTCCAGATTCGACAAGTTTTTGTAAAATA